TTTTTACTACGTACGTACGTACATACAATGTGCACGAACGTTCTCGTATCAGATGTGCAGATCTTCTTTTTACAACGCTCTCCCCGAAATGCAAGTTTCAAGCAGGTATACCTTTAGCGCTTTCGAATTTAGCATAATCATCGATAATCGATAATAACGTAGCGGAGATGTGCGTTCGTGTTGGCGCGTCATCCAACGGTTTTAGCGTTTTCTAGAGAGCGAGAGGAGAAACAACAGCGAAGAAGACGCGACGTAGCGATGCGCGGAAGAACGAGCGATTGAACTTATACTCGAGCCTCGGCATGTCTCAATCAAAGCGTACGCGGGAACTTTAGCTAATTCATAGGATAATTTTTCACTTCTGAGTCTTGGTAACATACTTGTATATTGTACAGTCTGTTTATAAACAACACGATATTATTAAACAAACGGGGATCGAAGATTTGTACGCGCAAGAACGACGTAGAAAGAGGGTGCTCGGTCTCTCTCGTTGCGGATGGATCGAACCCCATCCACGGGTAAGAACGGAATGTTTTTTGAAATATTTGTGATCGATACGTACACTTAATTAACGAGTAGGGCTTTTTCAGGGTAATTTCTATGCCTTTGACTGTTCCCAATTTGTTACGATATAGTTGTAATTGCATCGAACTATTTTAAAGCAAGTGACTGGCTTTCCGCGAGACGATACAATGACGATGAAAATGAAGAAAACGCTTGGTCAAAGACGCTTAAGGCATTGATTAGGCGAGCAGAGTGTATGAAATTATCGAATTTTGTTATTTGTTCAACCACAATGTTTGGTAATTATGAATGTATGCGGTGAAGAAAAATTCTTACAATTACGATAATTCATATTGTCTTGTTCTCTGGTGTTCTATTCTATTGTGTCGCTTTCTCGAGTGTCCGGTGCTTACAATGTCGATAAAAAAAACACATATATATACATATATATATATATACATAAAAAAAAAAAAGAAAAATCTTAAGGATCGCGAGGATTATAAACAGACTAATGTTGGATTTTTATCTATATTTTATCTACAGCACTCTTTCTCGATAAGTATTAATTGAAGTTTGAACGTCTACTGCACAAAATAATTACCTTAATCAATGTTATTACTTATAAATTAATAATAATTATTATATCTGTCGCGTTTTATAAAAGTGTACTCTAATATTAAATTAAACGAATAAACTTATAAATAGTTGTTACCGAATGCATAAAGAAAAAAGAATAAAATTTGTCAAAGTACATATTTCTCTAATAGTTCTTGTTTTTTTCTTGCAAGTAACGCCTCCTGAATATCTTGTTGCGATGGTATTGCTTTTTGTGCAGTTGTCTCGATCTCTTCTTCCATTTCTGGCTCTTTTTCGTTTTGCGCCAGCCACTCTTGCATCGCTCTTTCTCGTGCTTCTTGTTCAGCTTTTTGTTCCAAAGGCAGCAAAATTCCATCGTCGTCGTCTCTATACCCATAATAATCAGCATCGATGTCCTTCATTAATTCAGCGCGTGTTTTGCGAGGCGGAGGCGGTGGTTCTTGCTCAAACAATTCTCTAACACCTGGTAGCTCTTTCGCTGCTCCAAAATATTTGTAACCACGATTGCCAGGCACCTGCGTATTGTGACAATTAGATCTTTACATTTTCTATCAAAAACCGATCAGTGTATCATGCTTAAAAACATGCTGTACCTCACGACCTTCGTGATCTAGCATACGTGGTCCTACTCTGGAATAATCAGGCCCGCCTAATTCTTTTATTTGAGCCTCCCAATGTCGTTTCTCCCTCAGCAATTTATTAATCTCGTCGTTCAAATCTCGGATACGAAATTCTCCTAGACCTGCGTTTTGAATCTGTGCAACCTTCTTTGCAATTTCTCTAATTATTTGCATTCTCCACTTCTCTGCTTTCCTCAAATCTCTACATTCGGAAGCTAAATACGGCCTCCTTTCTTGTTCCTTTCTGGCTCCTTCGTTACTTTGTGCAGCTCTCCATCGAGCAAGAGTGGTCCTGTTTAAACAAATGTATGAAAAAGAAAAACTTACAAACTTACAACAAACAAATTAAAAAAAAAAGATATATTCTTTTTATAATACTTACATAGCCTTCTCCGCATTTCTCGCCTGAAATAAATAATGTTGGTTAAGTATGTTAAGAAAGAACAATTTTGTGTAATATGCAACAACGTTTACTTGTACTTACCATTTTTTATACAGATAATGACTTGAATAACAACGTTCAATAAAATAGTTTATCACTGTTTAAAAACTTAGGTGTAATTGGTTATAATTATATGCCTGGTTAGATATAATTTGTAAATTATAATTTTTATGTTATTGTTAATGTGTTACGTAAATTAAAACAATGTAAAATTTTGATTTCATTTTGCAATCGATGACACACAACAAGCATAGTTCATATAGGTTATGAAACTGTTGTGACTTTAAGGTTATGTTTTCGTATTCGCGAGAAACGAGGCTCTCACGTGGAAGTGCAACTAAAGTTTGTATCAATGAAAATGAATAAACAAAACCTTTTGAAATTAAGTGCTGTAGTTCTCTATCGTTATATATCTATTTTGTTTTAATTGTAGAGAAAGAGAAAAATCATTAAATTTTATCTATAATTTTTGTTTGTTTATGATTGTTAATAAAATAAAATTGTTTATGATATTGTTAATAAAATAAAAAATTGTAGAATTTAATCAAGTAATTTATGCATAAAGTATACATGAGACAATCATAAATATAATAATAATAATATTGTCACAAATTGTTTGCAAAAGTTATATGCTAATTATTAACAAACTAGTTATTAACAAAATTATAGTTAAAATATTTTGCGGCAATGAATACAGAATAAAGTTTTGTTTAATTAAACTTTGTTGTTTTATTCTGTGAGCATTCTAGAATCCATGACGCTATATGTAAACATGTGTACTATATGTATGTATCAAGAAGAGAACTGGACAGAGGTCAGTGTGTTTCTTTAAAAATTCTAGATAGAGGAAAGACCACTGCATTTGTGTTCAACAAGTTGAAGAGTACGGACGTTTGCGCCGAACGATAGTGAAACGGTATATTAATATTTTTAATTCTGTTTCAATTGTTTTGCAACGATATTTACAATAACATATTATTTACAATAAAGATAAACAAGGTTTTTTTTTATTATAGTTTGAACAAAATTTCGGAGTAACAGCCGGCTCGATTCAAAATGCTGAGTAAGTAGTATTGTTTCGGTATTATATCAAACATTACAAATAACGTTGAAGATTAATCCTTTAATTTTCAATGATAATTTCATGGATTTTCGATAATTGTTTGATTAAATGTAATGCGTAGATGAGAAGAAACCCTGCGGAGAGAAGACTTTTATTCACATCACGTTTTGCTACTTAATTTTATTTGTGCAATACACTTTTAGCCAATTGTGTGTCTTTATCTTTATGATTGCATTGGATCTGCCAGAAACAGCCAATCAGAACTGGATTTCTTTGTCTGGGCTTCTCATCTCTGTAGCAGTAAATAAGAGATGTAGAGGACGACACTGTTTTGACTTTTTACGATAGTTTGAATAGTCTTTAATTTTCAATTAAACATTTTTTTACAATTTGTATCTTTTAGATGAGTTACTAATTAAATTTCCTTATTGTTTTTTCTTTTTTTTTTGTAGAATTGATATACCTGACCGTTCTATTCCTTTATGGCGTCATAGCGCAAAATTGTGAGGACGACAGCCAAGGACAATGTTCTGCTACAACTTCTGCTCCTTTTGATCAAACCAAGAATTGGAATTCAGCTAGTAGCATTTATGACTTTCATGCTACAGACATCTATGGAAAGGATGTAGGACTGGATAAATATCGGGATCATGTTTGTATAATTGTTAACGTTGCCAGCAATTGTGGATTTACAGATGTAAATTATAGAGAATTGGTGCAACTGTATGAAAAGTACAGCGAGAAAGAAGGCTTGAGGATTTTGGCGTTCCCATCGAATCAGTTTGGTGGTCAAGAACCAGGCACCTCGGAGGAAATCTTGAATTTTGTCAAGAAATACAATGTCACTTTTGATCTGTTTGAAAAGATCGATGTTAACGGAGATAATGCTCACCCATTATGGAAATGGTTGAAGACGCAGGCAGGTGGATTCATAACTGACGACATCAAATGGAATTTCACCAAATTCATCATTAACAAAGAAGGAAAAGTTGTTTCCAGACATTCACCGAGCACGGATCCCCTTCAAATGGAGTCAGAATTGAAGAAGTATTTTTAAGTTTCCTCATACTCTTGCTTGCTTATTTCCCTTTCTTTTATTGTATACATATATATGCTTCTGTCTTATCGACAGAGCTGAAAGTTGCTCTCGCAACAACGAGATTAAAGCTCTTACTAAAATTTAGAACGTATACGTGAAGTGATATGCAAATAAATAGTTCTCATAATTTATAAACAGTTTTATTCATTTCACGTCTTAACATTTTTATAGGACATGGTACACCTTATTTATCATATAAATCTCTAACAATATAAACGCAGACTGTACAAGATGGGGGTTCGATCGTTGAGTCCCAACGAAATTACGGATAATTTACGACTTAAATGCTCATGTTAAATACACACAGAGTACATTTTCAATTGGAGTGTAGGAAGATATTGCGAGATAAGTCGCAGTTATTTAAATGATACATATTTTCAATTCTTAAATCACTATCTTATCATCTAGCGTGATATTATAATGATACTTGACACCGCTATGTACAAATTTTAATACAACGCACGCAATTCCATCGATCGAATCCATGTTGAACGACCGGTGCGATGAAGAAACTGTAACCAGAACACACACATGTGTGCATCATGTGCACACATGAAGTTCGTCCTTTGTGCTTCAAGTTCCATTCGATCGATCGTTTCGTACAACCGAGAAACCGGCCTTCGACGGCCACGGTACGTAAAAACTCGTACGAGCATAACAATCCATAAATAAATAAAACGTAATAAATTATAGAACCTTAAACGGTCTCTTTGACATTGCTGTTGATGATGGCCATTTCGTGGTCCGTGTTCTTGCTTCTGCCGTTCGACATGGTAACGGTGTCCTCACAGGTCTGGAAAAATTGTGAAAATTTTCTTTTAGACTGCTCGACGCCAGTTTGACTTGCTACGTAGAAACGTGCGCATGGTGAGTTAAGACAAGAATGAGAGCGAAAATTGTCACCGCGATTATCATATTAAAAACAATGAGAGTGAATTACCCATAGTCTCTTGTTGTAATTCTACCTTGTAGGAAGGATTGTCGTACGCCGACGTGCTTTTACGGGAGGATATGTCAGCCTTACTGCTGGTCCGTCTTTTCATGAGTATCATTAGAAGGATCAGGGTCGACAGGATAGCGAGAGACGCGACGATAGCTACCACTATCAGAGGGCCGTAGTAATCGCCCTCGTGAAGGGGCAGCGACGCTAGTTTTCCAGCTGAGACATTGAATTTCACAGTCAGAATCAACTTGCTCGCCAAGCGATTGAACATTTCGTCTAATCTTTCAATCGCACATACGTACGCGTGCATACGTACTTTGTTGCGATACCGTGGCTGGCAGAAGTACGCCGGGTTTCGTGACGAAGTCTTGCACGTTGCTCTTCTTTATCCTCCCGTTGGTCAGATAAACCTCGAGCCACAAACGATATCTGGTGCCCGGCTTCAGATCGCCGATCACGGTCCTCGGATGCGAATCCCTCTTGGCGATTTTGAACGTGCTGGTGTCCTCCTTGCCGCTGTCGCTTTGGTAAATCGCTCTATAAATATTCACGTACTTGTCCTCCGGATAAGGCACACCGTTCCAAGTTACTTCCACGTCCGTCGATTTGATCGTCTTGATTTCCACTTTGACGTCGAACGAGTACGGATCCGGTTCCATCGTCGTGGTCACCTGAATCTTTGACGGGCACAAGCTTGATAACGAAAGAGGATAACGTTGTCCTCGAACCTCGCTCAGATTAGTCAAGTGACCTGAGCCACTTTATCTTGTTACTTACTCGATTCGAGTTTGACTAATCTGAACGACACTTTGTCGTTGTTAACCATCGAAAATGTTAACATCAATCGTTGATGTTATTCGCGACGATATAATAAGATAAAATAAAATTCATAGAATTGTATTTTATCTTATTTTCGTGGATACTCACTGTCTTTTCGCTGACCAACTCCGTCAATTGTCCCGGGAACGGAACAAAGAGGACACCGATTTCGTAGACGGTCGATGGCCGAAGATTCTCGATTACGTAATTCCTCACCGCTCTATGGATCAACGGAGTTTCGGCGTGAATCTTGCCGTCGTTCTCCTTGTACCTCAGCTGAACGCCGTCGATGAACTGTAACTCGTACTCGGTGAATTTCCTCCACATCACGTTGACCCACGTGGAGTTTGCCTCCATAACGTGGAGCTCGGCGTCGATCGGTATTTGAGGCGGCAACGTTGTCGCGTCCGCCCGTTTCTCCAGCGTCCTCACGCTGTAGATCTTGCTGGTGGGACTGTTGGCCAGATCCTTCAGCTTCACCGTGATCTTTACTTTATACTCGGTCGAGGGCTTCAAATCGCCTAGCTCGAACTCGAGCTGCGGGGTCGCGATCAGATCGTTCGGCGGCGCGAATACTTGCGACTTCCAGGTGGACACGTCGAAATTTCTATCCGATAGAAGGAAGAATATGAACATATATGTAAATATATGTAAGGGTAATATATGTATACGTAATATGTAAGCTCCAGGGTTTAACAGCCAAACTTTGTCAATAACACAGGGTGTTTATAAAGTCTCTTTACAATTTTAAGAATTTGTTACAAACGCAAATGAAAAGACAGATAAGTGGAAATTATTGCAAAATGAGATGTATATATTTAAGTTTTTTCTGCCTCATTTAATACACCTCTATATGGGCACCATAGTTGTCTATCACTAATCTAAAGCAGAGGATCACCGATGCCATTGATGAGGGTACAGCGAACATGGCAAGAAATCGAGTACCGTCTTGATGTCCTTCGTGCAACTAATGGTGCCCATATAGAGGTGTATTAAATGAGACAGAAAAAACTTAATTATATACATCTCATTTTGTAATAATTTCTACTTACCTGTCTTTTCATTTTCCTTTGTAATAAATTCTTGAAATTGTAAACAGACTTTATGGACACTCTGTATTCCACAAGTACAATCAAAATATGTACAAAATAAGTAAGCATCGAAAAAGTATCGCGAAATTTTTGTGAAAACAAATGACACATCGACAAAATATGTTTTCATAAATATAAATAGTTTATCACGTACAAAAAGTTCAGATATAAGTACTTTGTTTTTCAAAATCAGCCTGATAAGACTTTAAAATAGAATATACAGAATATATCTGGTAATGAGACTTTATAGAATATGCCTAATGAGATTTTAAAGTAGAATACATAGAATAAAACGTAAAACTTGGCTGTGAAACTCTGAAACGCTTGATTAGATACAAATCCACTTCATGGTCGATTAAAGTTACTGGACAATCTTGCGTTAATTCTGATAAGCTTAATAAGACTTTAAAATAGAATATACAGACTATATCTGGTAATGAGATTTATAGAATATACCTATAATGAGATTTTAAAGTAGAATACATAGAATAAAACGTAAAACTTGGCTGTGAAACTCTGAAACGCTTGACTAGATACAAATCCACCGCATGGTCGATTAAAGTTACTGGACAATCTTGCGTTAATTCTGATAAGCTTAATAAGACTTTAAAATAGAACATACAGACTATATCTGGTAATGAGATTTATAGAATATACCTATAATGTGATTTTAAAGTAGAATACATAGAATAAAACGTAAAACATGGCTGTGAAACTCTGAAACGCTTGATCAGATATAAATCCACTTCATGGTCGATTAAAGTTACTGGACAATCTTGCGTTAATTCTGATAAGCTTAATAAGACTTTAAAATAGAACATACAGACTATATCTGGTAATGAGATTTATAGAATATAGCTATAACGAGATTTTAAAGTAGAATACATAGAATAAAACGTAAAACTTGGCTGTGAAACTCTGAAACGCTTGACTAGATACAAATCCACCGCATGGTCGATTAAAGTTACTGGACAATCTTGCGTTAATTCTGATAAGCTTAATAAGACTTTAAAATAGAACATACAGACTATATCTGGTAATGAGATTTATAGAATATAGCTATAACGAGATTTTAAAGTAGAATACATAGAATAAAACGTAAAACTTGGCTGTGAAACTCTGAAACGCTTGACTAGATACAAATCCACCGCATGGTCGATTAAAGTTACTGAACAATCTTGCGTTAATTTTGATACTGATGCTAAATTACGTTTTGTCATTGGTGTATCGCAGCTCAACGCGTCCATGAAGCCCGACCAGGACCTGCGGCACGGTGAAAACCAGTCGGACGGTGTTCTCATCGAGGGCCTCGAGAATCTGCACGGTGACGTCGTCCGAGGAGGAAGCGACAGGATATCCAGAAATGGCACCGGGCAACGGGAACATCGGCGCGTTTTGCTCCATGCCTAAATTTCACCAACACAGATCGTCGTTATTGAAATCTCGCTGTAAACCCCAATGATTTTTATATTTGCATACTTGCAAGTACAGAGTGTCCATAAAGTCTTTTTACAATTTCAAAAATTTATTACAAAGGCAAATAAAAAGACAGATATGTGGAAATTCTTACAAAATGAGACATACATATTTAAGTTTGTTCTTTTGTTTCATTTAATACACCTCTATATAGGCACCATTAGTTAAGTACGGGACATCACTAATCTAAAGCAGAGGATCACCGATGCCATTGCCATCATCGATGAGGGTATGTTACAGCGAACATGGCAAGAAATCGAGTACCGTCTTGACGAGGCAGAAAGAAACTTAAACGTATACGTCTCATTTTGTGATAATCTCCACATATCTGTCGTTTCATTTGCCCTTGTAATAAATTCTCGAAATTGTAAAGCGACTTTACGGACACCCTGTACATCGAGCAAACGAACAAGTGACAAGTTATCGATTACGATGATCTCTTGCGGCCTCTTGTCCTTAACGACTGGTTACTTACAGAACGCGGAGAAGAACGCGCGAAAGAAGAGGAGAGGCGAAGAGAGACGAAATGCACGAATTCGATAGAGAGATTCGTTGCTGATCGGGAACGAACCTGACTGGTTTGGCGATTGTGCTGCGAACGGATGATTCAAGTGCGTGAGCCCAGAATGCGGTATGTGAGCGTCAATGTGAAGCGGCAGAGTGGCGGCCGGGCCACTCGCCACGCTATGAGGTATGGCTGGCTGTCCGGGATAGTGTTGGAACGGTCCAGGATTGGGATCGTGTTGGCCGATGTGAGCTAGCAGTTCCTCGATCTGCTGCGGCGAGTTCGGTATGTCTGGCGTGTGTATGTGGTAGGTCGTCTGACCGTCCTCGTTCTTCTGCGCGTAAACGTGCGGCTTCGCGGGTTTCTTCGGCCCGTTGCCGCTCGCGGCGAAGAAACCCGGTCGCGGCTGGCCGTTCGCCGTCTGTTTCTGGTTGGATATCTGTTGATGGATGTCGTACAAGCCGGGATGCCCCTCGGGCGGCGCGTGTTCCAACTGAACGAGACCCGGATGTTGAAGGTTGATCAGATGATACAGTTCCTCCGGGAGGATCTCCTGCTCTGGATTTCGCTGGCCCTGTTTCGGCCGACCGGGCAGCCCCGCAGGGCTCTTGCCCTTCTCGGCGTCGCTCGGTGAAGCTTTCTTCTTCGGACTCGCGGGGATATTCACGATCACGTTCGGATCGACGTTGTCCGGACCGTGGATCGAACCTCTGGCTGGGACGTAAGACGAGCCAGAGTTGTCGAGCTGCGCGTTGAAGCCGCCCTGTGCAACGGTCTGACCGGTGTTGACGAATCCTGGCCCGACTGTCTCTTGCTGCGGGCTCAGCGGCACGAACTGCGGTTGATCGACCGCGTGGCCCACTGTCTTCTGCACGGGCGGTAGCTTGTTGGGATTCACGGGCCCGGGGACGAACTGCTGGTTCTCGTTTGCATTAGCATTCGCGACGGTCGAGCCAGCCTTGTCCAAGAATTTGTCCGGCGCCAACGGGCCGGGGAAATAGTCGTCTTTGTGCGGTTTGTGCGCGACTGGCTCGACCGGTTTCTTAGCGTCGAACTTCATCTTCACGCTGCTCTTCTCTTTGAGACGTTCGGCCGAGACGCTCGAAGGTTTCTCGGTGTGAGGTGGTAAATGAAACACGTTCTCTACGGTGGGATGCGTAGGCTTGTAATCGGGACTGTACGGTCCGTTGTACGGTATCGTCGGGTGTCCAGGATCCATGGGGTAATGGAAGAGACCATGAGTGGTGGTGTCTGTGTGCGCGTGAACGTCTTTCGAATGTCCCCGCAAGGAGGATGTGGCAGGATCCATTTGGTGGCCGGGCCCGGCCGTATCCGACTTGTTACTCGGTCTTTTGTTACCGTCGTTCGATTGCCGATTGAACGCGTCTATGGCTAACGGGCCGGGAAACGCGTGCGTTGAGTTCGTTCCTGCAAATGAGTAACAAAGTCGATTGTCATCAGAGATGGCCGTCGAATCGGTGAGACGGCGTCGACCAACTGTCCAAGTTGCAAGAATTCTTCATGCATATTTACAGCAAATGTATGTCCAACGTGTGTGTGTATGTATGTATGTACAAGCGTAGCCGGACAAAGCATGCATTTACAGCATTTTCTTCTACCAACTGGTTGGCTCACTGTTCAAATGTTCTTTCCACCTTTCACCCAGTTTCCTCGGATTCGTTTTTCCCTTCTTTTTTTTTTGAAAGACAAGCAATCGAACTGAAACGAAAGGGAGAATGACACAGTTCGATTGTAAAAACGTGTCTCGAATGACACGCGAAGGGAAGTCGCTGTGAAAATGGCAATGAAAAGTGCTATAAACGTGAGAATATCCTCGGGTGTATGTACACGTCGCATTTGCACTGGAGAGTTCCAGTCAGGTCCGCATGGCGGATAAGCGTTCACCCTCTACCCATAACCAATCTAACGTTTGCGATAGCAATCGCACGAGAGGTATACCACTAACGCGTTGATATCACCACCACCAGGAGATCAGACGTTAACGATTTACAATACCGATCGGACAAATCTTTACAATTCAGACTCGCAGATATACAGGGCGGGACGAGTTTGTATCATATAATATACATGTATTAGGTTGACCAAAAAGTAACTGCGTTTTTTTCGTGCAAACGAAAGGTGAATTTTCATAGAGAAACAAAAACTGTTGTTCTAGTCTTTTTCTAATATTTTTTTGTTGTTAAAATAATTTAATGGCGCGTGAGAAAAAATTGACACGTACAAAATTTTAAATTTAGCCCCGCCTATACATGTCCATTTGACCAATTATTACATCATTTAATTTAATAAATTTGTTAATTAGAATTGTTTTATGAATTGATATAAGAAATTTGCTTTTATTAATAATTATATTTATAAATTTAATTGTTGTTAAAATTTTATGATCTCGAGATATTATTCGTGAAAGAACATTTATAAGTAATCATATATTTTATATTAAAATAATATTAAAAAATATAAAATTAAAATTTTAATATTAATATAATATTAATATTAAAATATAGTATTAATATAATATTAATATTAAAATATAGTATTAATGTAATATTAATATTAAAATATAGTATTAATATAATATTAATATAATATTAATATTAAAATATAGTATTAATATAATATTAATATTAAAATATAGTATTAATATAATATTAATATAATGTTAAAATTTAGAATAATTATATTATTTACTATTTATTATTCCAGAATTTTTAATTTAATTTCAAACCGCAATTGCTTTTTGGCCAACCCAATACAAGCCATGAAATATTTCTATGGCAAGTATAATTCAAATACTTTCGCGAGCCGATGTATGAGATAAAATTACAATTTTATATTACACCCTGTATGTCTGCTGTTCGCCGCGGAAGATCAAGGCCAAGGGTCGTTGCTCGAACGATCTTCCGGTCGTTAGCGAGGCACACGGAAACGGTCAGTTTGCCAGCCCTCGACTATTTTCTTCGACTATTCTTCGCAGTCGGTGTCACGCGACGAGCTGGATGATTTACCTGGCGACTGGTTGGACGAATGCCCGCAGCTCCACTCCAAGCAACACTCGTCACCAGGTAGATGCATCAACGCGGCCTGATAAGACGGGCAAGGCAACGTTGCAGGTGGCAGAGCGGGGACCGGTGGACAGGCTGCCTGACATGACACGTTTCCCATCTCGCAGTAACATCGTTTCTCGCATCCGGTTACGTTCGCCGCCAGCTCGCTCCAATTGTCGTACGTGTTACCCTCGTAATTGCACGAGCCATTATTTCTGCATCGCACTTCCTGCCAACACATCGCGTGAACATCGATCCTTCAACGATCCTTCTCCCTCTTCGCTATTATCACAGAACCTTCTTCTTCTTTCGAACGAAGCTTTCGTAAGTCGAAATGATTCTCTGCCTTACCTGCGGGCAACAGTGAGGAGGTTTCGGGACGAAATTCGGCGGCACGGTCTCCCAGTCGAGGCAGTGAGGATCGAGAACGTCGAGGCCGAAGTCGGTGGGGCATTCGATCGTCAAACACTCGGTTTTACCACCTTCGGTGCACGTGCAGAACGAGATGCACTCGTCGTACCATTCCGCGCCCACTTTGTACGTTTTGCCTATGTGGCTGCAGGAGCCCTTGTCCGTCGTCTTGTCCGAGATGTTCGTCTTGATCACCTCCGCGGGGAGAAAGACCTGCAGCGCCGGACCGGTCCGAGTCCCGTCCGTAACTCGCACGTAGTACGAGCGAGAGGGATCCAAATTCGACACGATACCCTCTGCCAGTTCACCAACGCCAAAAAAAGAAAATGATGACTCGTTCATTTTCGAGTATCTATTCGCGATTTATATTCGTTTCATTCAACGTTGGCAGTCTCACCTTTGTCAGGTTTCTGCTGCCTCCACACGTGATTGTTGTCGGATATCTCGACGGTCACGTCCTGCGGATTCTTCGCCGACAGTTTCAGCTTGATCGCCGTCGAGTTCAGCACCTTCACGTCCGTCAGGTTCACCGTCAGGTCGCTCGAGCTTTCCGGCTTGATCTCGTGATCGCCCAACGTGACGTCGCAAAGAGTGATCGTGCAGCACGCATCTCTGAAACGAAACGCGCGTGTTTTTTTTTTTTCTACAACAATGTAGGGCATTTGTCGTTTGGCTATTGGCCGTGAAGACTCCAGAGAAGCGAGTTCCAGAGGAAACGGGAATTCTTCGTTAAGCTACGTGTTTATTTGAGAGTTACTGTCAAGAGTTGTGTCCATTTGAGAGCAGCTGTGAGAATTTTCACTCTTCGAGAGAGACCGAAATACTCTCCGAGAGTTTACTATCCGATAGAATTCTCAGAACCGTGTCTATTTGAGAGTTTATTGTCTCTGGTCCTACACACTGTGGTGTAATTCAGTGTGAACAGTGACATCGCTATCATGGAGGTGCAACAAATGTGTGCCCATAATATTTTAAGAGAAAAAAAAAATCAACATGAAAAGAGGAGTTCAATAATTTAAATTATTACATAATATTTAATATAATTAAATATTATATAATATTTATATACTATTGATATTTAAATTATATTTATATATAAATATTTATATTTGTAATATTTATATATATATAATATTATATACATTATTTAATATATATAATATATATTATATATATGTTATATATATATAATATTTATATATGTTAAATATATTATAATAATTATAATTATTTATTATTAATATAATAATAAAAATATTATAATATTTATATAATTATTACACAACAATTTAAATTAAAAGAAATTAGTTCAATAATTTCACTCTTCGACCACACCTTTTTTTATCATTCATTGTTCTGCTCGCACGAGAGTAGTACTCTCAGGATTTCGAAACCGCTCCGAATTTTGAGATTAACTCTCCGAGAGCAGTATACACATTGTGTCCATTTGCGAATAGGCCGCGACACTGTCGACTCTCAGACAATTGAGCGGAGAGTAACACTCGGAACAGTATCCATTTGCGAGAAATATTCTCGACTCTCGGTAGTTTCACTTTCCAGTTGGACACCTAGCCTTTACCTTGGATCGGTGAGCACGACGCAGCGATCGTGCTGATTCGTCACGGAAATCGTATCGTTCGGTGGGCATCTCTGCTGGCACTTCAAGTTGCCACCGGCCTCGCAGACGCATACCCTGGAACAGCCATCCTCCACTCGTTGACCTCTCATTATGGTTTTGTTCCCAAAGACGCAGGTCTCCTCCGGTTCGGGCGCTGCGCGCGAAAAGACGATGGCAGAAATTCGATTTGAGAAAACGCTCGGACGTTGTTAGCATCTGACGTAAACAACAAACTCACCGGAATCGGCGGCGCAGACCAAAATGGCGCAGCACGGCTCCTCGTTGACGATCTTCTCCTGACAGAGCGGATCCTCGATGCCGCGGTTCGCCCGAACGTACGGCGAGGAGCAAAGCGGTTTGCAGTCCGTGGCTGCGCCGCTCTCGCCGCACACGCATCTCTCCTCGCAACCCCTAACGATCTTCTCTCCCACGGTGTACGTTCGGTTCCCTTCCATGCACATGTTCACCGTCGGCAGCAGGCTCGAGGAGATGTTCACGGCTGTCTCGTTGTGAGACGCCACGTACTCGCCGCCTGCGTGAAACATCAACGTTTAGATCAAACTGATCGATTTCGCTTTCGACGAATGTTAGATCGGCAGACGGAGTGAATGTAAGAAATGAATGTAAGAAAAAAAAAGAAATGGGGTTTTCTTCCCCAACACGTTGTAATTATATTGTAATTTGCATTACAATAAACAATAACTTTTTCTTGTTTGTTTATGAACGGTATATTTGTGAATTGTCATCGATGAGTGTGTTACGTACGCTCCCATCCATAAGTCACTGGATGATACTTGCTTATTTTGAGCTGAGTTACTAGAACACAAATATACTTTTCTCGATTGATTTTATTGTACAATCTTGTATTTATTTTATAATAATATTTGAAAACAAAACTGATATTTTATATCGTATATACTCTGAATAAATATTTCAAAAAATATCAAGAAAAATATATATATATTTCAAAAATCCAATCGAAGAATTGTGGGACAATTGGACTCCAAAATCGACAAAAGATTCGACTTATGGAAGAAATGAGAAGAAGCGTGAAAGGAATTTCATTCTGAAATATTGATAAAAATTAATCGAAAGAATGCCACGGTTAGTTCAGGCCGTCATATCTGCACGAAGCAGATATATCGGCGAAACAATAATATAAGATACATTATATAGTATTATAGTATTATAGTATTATAGTATTATATAGTATTATATAGTATTATAGTATTATATAGTATTATAGTATTATATAGTATTATAGTATTATATAGTATTATAGTATTATAGTATTATATAGTATTATATAGTATTATATAGTATTAGATAATATTATGTAGTATTTATATAGTATTATAATATTATAGTATTATATAATATTATATAGTAATGATGGCGAATCAATGACCCGCGGGCCAGACACTGACTCACGCAAGCTTTTTAAATGACCCACTCGTTAATTTTTCTAAACTTATCATCATATATACAAAAGAATTTTAATTATTTTTCGAACCCCTCTTTTCAAAAAATGTTAACAAAATTACAAGTCTTTGGTTAGAGCTTAAAAGTGAGAAATAAATGCATAATTGTGTTTTATGGAGGATTTACGACTTGGTTATGTATACACATAGGTATTTTAAGTCTTAAATGTTATACGAGTTAGTTGTGTCCAAAAAATGTTATATAGCGCTTACGATTAAACAGATGTAACAAACACTAAAAAACACACTAGATCCCATTCTCAGAATGGGTAGCTTTGCTAGTTTTTTATATAATAAAAGAAAGAACAGACAATAAAAAATATTATAAAATAAAGTATATATATCTAATGTATAGTGCAGGGGTGACTGGGCATGATGTCACCCCTTTTATATCAATTTTTTGACGTCGACATTTATTTTCTGCTTTTCACTTGCAAAAGTAAAAGTTGTAAAACAAAAAGGAAACGTAAACTTTTTAGAGGATTACAAAAGTGAGAACCAAAGAAAAGTAGTTTTTAACCATCTTCCCCTTCTCCTTTCCAAGTGACACCACTGACTTAGTGACCGACGAGCTAGTACTAAAAAAAGTAATGAACAAAATTTGACCTACTTCTCAAAAAGGTTCGCCGTCACTGTTATATAATATTATATAGTAAACATTATATAAATTATATACTTCTTGGTAAGATTTTTGACACATAAACTATATGACACACGTATCCTAGATATTACACATGTGTAATAAGCAATAACTTCGTTTCATAAAATAGTCGAATCGAATATATCTCGTCGAATATAATTGCCCGTACCTCAATTTTTTCGTAGTGTCCGGTTATTTATACGTAGTGTACACGTGCAACGTGCTCTCAAAATACAAAATAAATGCGAGAAACGACGACTCTCTTACGACTCTCTCACCTTCCACTTCTTTATCATCGTCGTCCATGCTAACGTCGCTAAGGTCGGTGATGTTCGAGTGCAATGAATTGGTGGGCTCCGGCGCCGAGATGTTCAGTGCCCTTCCCCTCGACGCTGTTGTCGCCTCCGTCGCGCTGACACCTTCCGTACTGCTCTCCTTCGTCGACGAGAAATGATAGCTAGTTGACGATTCGACAACGGGTACCGTGACGTTCGTCGCGACTGGCTCGCCGCGAAGTAGAAACGGTATGGTGATCGCCATCGTTTCCATCGATCTCGCGGTCGTTCCCTCGATCGGTTTCGACGACAACGACGACGACATCGGGATCGTCGTCACGGTGCTGGCGGCGTCGTTGCTTTCACCGCGTCTCGACTCATCGTCCTTGAACGGTTTTTGGTATTTTTGCTCGGTCTTCACCTTGAAGTCGGTCGGCTTCTTCTTCGGCTCGATCGTCGTCTTCGAGTCCTGCTCTTTGCTCGGGTACTCCGACTTACGGTCGCTCGTCTCGTTCCTCGCGTCACCGGGTAGCGGCTCCACTCCTGCTATCTCTTCGACAACCGTGCCTGGAAAAATGTTTTTTTTTTTTTATTGACAAGATCGTTCGAGACCGTTTTCGAGTTTTACAACATTGCGTGCAGCTTTTTTTTCGTTGTTGTTACGATCGAGAAATTTTTGACAGTCGTAAGGACTGTGGAACGTTTTCTACCAAAGTATCGAGGATACTTTACGTCGAGCTAATTTTGTTTGAAGTAACTTGGTTTATTGTAAATAAATTTATTTCGTTTCCAAACCGAACAAATCATCATTTGCAATCGATCTTTCAGTCGAAATAAAATGATAATATCTCAACGGAGGAAATGATTAAACGGAGGATGCGAAAATGCAAAACGAAATGAGAAATTAGAATAAAGAAATATCATTTGCTCGTTTTAGCAGATTATGTTACAAGATACATTTTCGTCGAGTCAAGATGAGACGACGTGTATGTTGCTTAAATAGTCGTCCTTTTCCAATATTTCACTCGAATACCCGTGATTGCTTCACGTCGATCAAATTGCTTTTGAGAGGTTCGAGAATTAATTAACAATGTAAATTTCAGGATGACGCGTGAAATGAAATCTGTTTGATCATCGATCAGTCGTCTACTAACGCGATTTCAATTATCTCGCGTGCTATTCAAATATATACTTTTACAAATGTCCTCTCTGCTTATTTTAAACATATGTGCATATGCAAATGGCAGTATAGTTCAAATACAAATTCGCCGTATTTGAAAGTATGGTACGAAAATATGGTAGAATCGAATACGAAATCAGAGCGAGCGATCTCGAAGCGCGTTTTCATTTTGTAACCGCGATTCATATCGAATCTCGTCCATTATACGCTCGCTTACTTTCTCTTCTCTCGCGTATCTTCTCTGTCATATCCGTCTCGAACGTAACGAACTCTGCATTGCTATTATCACTCTATGCGCGAACGTATCGAAATTTCCGCGACTCGGATTACCTAACTCGGATTTCACGAACGCAACATGCCCGATCGTGTAAGAATACAATTTTGCTATTCGTCGATCCTCGTTTTTATCTACGCTCGTCGAATCTTAACTTGACTTTTTTGGTCAAACGACTAGTTTAAAAATTAATTTGATTTAAAATTCTGCATTCTTTCGTTCATTTAATTCTTGTTGAAGTAAAAAAGAGAAAAAAAAAACTGGAAAAGTCTAATTTTTTTTTTTGTATTATTATCCGAGAGTTGTTTTCATCGATTGTGTCGTTTCCTGTATTAAATTGACAATTATCTATATTGCTTTTGTAAAGAAATTCTGACCAATACAGTAAGCGTATGTTATGTTTGTAAATTATTGCAAGCAAATAATGTCCTAATGCTCTTTGCAGTTTTCACCTTCGAGACAAATTATCTCCTTAATCATTAAGTTTAGGATCAATGTCTTAAATATTTTTTCACTTGGAATTTAATATTCTTTCGATTATTCATATTTTTTCATATTTTTTTCATATTTTGCGATGAAAAAATATATGGTTCAATTAAAGAAAATAAAGATAATTTCTTAACACATATTAAATAAAGAAACCTCTTAACACATATTAAATATTAATACGCCAAAAGAAAATAAAGATAACTTCTTAACACATAAAAATAAAGAAACCTCTTAACACATATTAAATATTAATACGCCAATTAGTTTTCTCTTGTAATTTGATATTTTATTAAAAAAAAAGAAAAAATAGGGTGGAGAAGGAAACTTTTGGCCCACCCTGTAGATAAATAAACTTTACTAACTTTCGTTTTTTCATTCGAAAACTGTTTCAATTGCGGGAAAAATAATCAAGAAACATTTCGGAAAGAAAGAAATTTTAAACTGTAAAAAAAGAAAAAAAAATTTCAAAGAAATAATTTTTAAAAAGTAATGACAAAATGACGTTCGAACTTGAGTTTAATTTAAAACTGACAAAATTATTTTTCCCTCGTAATTTGATATTTTATTAAAAAAAAAATAGGATGGAGGATGAAACTTATGGTCCATCCTGTAGATAAATAAACCCTACTTGAACTTTCGTCTTTTCATTTGAAAACTGTTTCAATTGTGGGAGAAATAATCAAGAAACATTTCGGAAAGAAAGAAATTTTAAACTGTAAAGAAAGAAAAAAAAACATTTCAAAGAAATAATTTTTAAAAAGTAATGACAAAATCACGTTCGAACTTGAGTTTAATTTAAAACTGACAAAATTATTTTTTCCTCGTAATTTGATATTTTATTAAAAAAAAAATAGGATGGAGGATGAAACTTATGGTCCATCCTGTAGATAAATAAACCCTACTTGAACTTTCGTCTTTTCATTTGAAAACTGTTTCAATTGCAGAAGAAACGACGACAGACCGTTTTCTTCGCAAACGTGACCAAATATTATCGGAAGAGTCGCATTTATTCTCGTATTTATCCTCGCGTCAGTGTTGCATCGCTGATCGCCGTTTTCATGGAGGTTTCGCAACGGCGTGGCGGAGATTCGCCGGCGATATTATGACGAGGCAGAGGAGACTTTCCATCCGGGGCTGAAAACGCGCTCGGGATGCACTGTTACGTCAAGCAACCTGGCCGATCTCGTCATTCCCATCGGCCGGCCGATCTTTCTTTCAACCGATTTGCCCGATGCTCGGGATCGAGTTTTTGCCGACCTCCGGAACGATCGCTAAAGCAAACGTAACAGTATTGGCGAGCCGTTTTCTACGAATCAAGCGTATCGATCGCTCGAGGTTCTCTCGTGTCTGAGCCACACGTCACGTTGCGTGCTAAAAATCCCTAATCGATCAACCCCTTTTACTGCCGACTATCGACCAGAGCCGATTTGACGTGTACGCTTTTGCGAAGAACGTTTGAACAAATATTCTCCGGTTCTGCACAATTATCGAGTTTCTCATACTTCTGTGAACGTTATGGCGAAGACTGTGCATAATTTTAATTTTTCGTAATTACTTCCAACGGAATTATTAAACATTTTTAGGAGGGAAACACAAGTCGAGTATCTTTTAAGTTTGTACAATTATTATTAAATAAATTCCAGAGATAGTTCCAAATTGACTAGTATTTAGTAGAGGATGAAATATCGGTCCGTGGCATCTAGAGTTTTACATATTTTTGCTGCCAGTCTTCACACTAGAACTATCAAAGCGATAAAAATGATTCGTAATTTTCACTCGAAAAAAGATTCTCGTGAAAAAATTACGAATCACTTCGATAGCTCCATTCTAGTCTCGACACTAAAACTGTCGGTGGTCAAACGATTCGTAATTTTCCCTAGAAACTTTACAAATTAAACATTAAAAAGTTACATACGATTTTTTAAATTTTACATTAAATGTTTTAAAATAGTGTACTTCTCGAGATTTAAACGACCCCCCGGCAAAATGTGTGAATTGAAGCTTGTATCATATTCGACTTTAACGTCTCTGATGGAAATTCTACGCTTCGGTCGCTTTGGTAATTTTTAATCGCGTTGATTAGTCTCGTTTCGTTCGAATCTCGAGTCAAAGCGGAATTCAATCCACTCTCTCGTTCCTTCGGATTCTTTTGGCTCGTCGGGGACGATTTTCACGATTTTCACGTACGAGTGGATGTTTCGGCTAAAGCAGGAAGACCGGCCTTTCGACTTTTATCGCAGCATGAATGGGGAACCTGTAACGGTGCGACCGGTTCACGCGAGGCCACAGCTCGTCATCAGGCGATCCACCTGACCGGCCACGTTTCGAACAACACGGCGCGGCGTGTAACGATTTTGACACGTAAGTAGGTGACGGTCTCCTTTTACGTCCGGCGCATGCATATGCATCGACGTTATGTTTGCCCAAACGAGAGTCCAGCCTTCCTCGTTTCACCTCGACTCGAAAATCGACGGTGTTTCTCGCTGAGATCTCAGCAGGTTTCTTCCACGATGCAGGACTAGCTAACAGACTGGTGGATCGGTGATAGTTTATCTGTTTATTTCTTCGATAGTTTATCTGTTTATTTATTTTCTCGTTTGTTCATTTGTTTGTTTACTTACTTGTTTTATTCGTTCGTTGGGTATACTTGTCATGTAGAAAAAACATTCACTTTTGCTATTTATTGTAAAATTTAGGTAAATTATATATAAATTATATATATATTATATATATAAAATATATTTGTATATATTTATAATATATATATTATATAATTTTAATTTGTTGTATTATCTTAATATATATATTATATAATTTTTTTTACCTAAATAGCAAAAGTGAATTTTTTTTTTATTTTATTAAATATATATATATATATAATATTTGTAATTTTATTATATTTATATATATATTTTATTATATTTATATATTATATATATTTGTAATTTTACAATATTTTAGTATATTATATATATTTGTAATTTTACAATATTTTAGTATATTATATATATTTGTAATTTTACAATATTTCAAGGCAACAAAACAAACAAAGAAAATATGCACTTGAAAGTAACGGGAATTGTTTCGAAGAAATCTAATGCAAAAACAAATTAAATTTGTCTCTAGTCATTTTAATTTTCCAAATATTTGATCTTTCATAAATTGACGAAAATTCAAATTCTTTCTTCCACATTTTGAACTTTCGATGGGATAATTTCCAAAAAAATAATAAATTCAAACTCGAGTCGATAGAATACCTGCGAATACAGGGCTATTCGAAAAATTGTGTTTATCGAGTGAAAAGGATCCATCGCGGCGAAGGACGTCCGGTGCAACGATACTTCGCGACCGATCACGTGCACCTCGGTAAGTGTTGCGCCGTTCGAAGAGAATTCGTAATTAAAGAGTTGCGTAGTATTTGATGGTCACGATTCACCGATCAAAGATATAAATAAAGCGTATCCCCAACGTATTCTGTGTCTTCTGAATTAACAAATTTTTAAAAAGTCTTTCATTCCTTTTCTC